GGTGGCTATAATATTTTATTTTATTTTTAATTATTTTAAAATGGAACAGCCGAGATGGATCAATAGGTTTCATGTTGTCCCAAAACATTATGTTATGTTAAATTAAATATTCCTTAAAAATTAAATGTTTCATGTGAAACAGTATAAGTTAATAAGTATTATTTCATCTCAGTGATAATAATAGATCAAAAAGTAAATCAGTGCATATATATATATATGTAGTTTCAGAACTGCTCATCATAGCAAAATTTACTTTTGTTTCGTAAAAAAACAACAGATTTTATACCTGGTTCACTCTCTGTAGTTTTTGTTTCAGTTTTATTCTTTTGTTTCAGTGATTTAGTAGCAGTGTCATCTGGTGTCGAAGCACCTACAATGAAAAGATATAATGTTATTGCACATCTTTTTAGATTTTATGAAGAATAACATAATAACAGAAATGAACCGCTATTCACAACTATGTACTTTTTTTACTTGTATAACAACGTTTCCAATAAGTACTATGTAAATTATTTTCAAATTCTTAAATTTGCGTTTAAAGCATTGAAGACTCCTAGTGATATTAAACCTGAGTTTTTAGTTCACATTATTATTCTTTTTTCCCCTGCTTCTTCGAAAAGCATATACTTTAATTTATGTTTAAAAAGTTGACATCTTTCTTTTTTTTTTAAATTTTCAGTTTCAGCTTACTAGACTTTTCAATCCTTTTAAAATTTCTCTGTAACAAATATAGTCTTCAAGTTTACGACAAACTTATGTATATCATTTATCAAAAAACAGCTTTCTATACAGAACATTTATCCAAGGGCACTTGTTTATTAAAGAAAATACAGAACAGCTAAATGCACTAAAAACACAGGTTACAACATTACGTTTTTTTACTTTAAGGTTTAGTTTTTCTGATCATCAGAAAAATTTTACAGCAATAAGACAAATAGTTGATGAGTAGATGAATAAAGTGAAGAGTAAAAAAATATTCATTCTGACACAAATGAAAATTCTTAACGTCAATTAATAATTTAATAAAACTTAATGAACATACCTATATTTTCCAAGGTTTCATCTGTCTTGAGGGATCTACAATCAGTTACAAGGTTAGGGACTCTACAATCATTTACAAGGTTATGTTCTTCTTGGCTTGTGGGTGATAACTGGGTCTTTTCTGTCTGATGTTCAGAAAATGTTTCAGATACTTTTCCCATTTGTAATTTCAAATTTGATTTTTTCACTTTGGTGTTTGCTTTCTTTTTCATAATCAGTTCGCTAGAGCGACCCTATTGTGGAGAAAATGCAGTAAATACAGCAGTTTTTATACTCATGTTGTGTTTGCAAATACTTGTATAAAATATCATGCATAAAACAGAAATGATTTTCTCTATTAGAAAATGGACAATGTACTTTACTTGTACATGGAATATGTACCTCTGACCAAGTGCTGTCACCTGGTGGGACAGCAGGAAGTTTACGGATTTATACTGCTAAATTCTGGGGTTCATTTCTCCACGATGGACACAGCACATAGCCCAAATGGTGCTCTGCTCTAAAACAAATGACCAAATGCTTAAGTTCTGCCCTCACATGTATCAGCCTTCTTGTGTTTTATCCTTATTAATATCCCATTAATTTTTAATCTCGAAATAGTTTTACTCTTAGCTGTTTTCTTTTAACTGTTCTATTCCATTTCATCCGTGTTCATTATGCTATGATCATTCTAACATTTTATGTCCTTCCCCACAACATTACCATTTTTGTGTGTTATTCTACTTTCATTTTCCACTTTCTTGTGCAAATTTTACCCCCAGTCTTTGGATTTTACTATCTGATCAGTAATACAGTGTACAAATTTTGGTGGTAATGATAAACAAAATAAGTACAAGTTTCTATCATAAAGGAGGTTTAAGTGTGAAAAATTAGATTAAATCAGATAAAAAAAACAAACAGTATCACAGGATTGAGTACATTATATTCAAACAATTTTGAATATGTAAATCACCAAGTAACAAGACAACCACAGCCAATATAAACTCACGATGGAATGGAATGTATCACAACTATATTTTGACATTGCTTGGCATTTTGTGGATTGTGTGATGTTACTGTAAATAAACTGATTTTGGGAATGGTATGCCAACAGCCCCTTCCAATACAAAATATTCATATACTCAGATCACAAAACTATGTCTAAATCAGTGATTTAGAACTATTAAGAGTTAATGGCATTGGAAAATAAAGGAATATGGATCAACTTGGGATCCAGGACCATCCAGAAAGAGACCTGAAATAAGCTGTACAAGAGCTTTAGTAAGCAAAATACATTGTCTTGAACATGTGAAAACTCATGAACACAAAGGCCAGTGGTAAAAGCTGTTCATTTGGCTTAGGCAACAGTACGGAGCATAATCAAGAAAGATATGGGTATGGATTCATGAAGATAAGGTTTACAGTCATATCTCCACTTCAAACATTGCATACCTCAAACAGCTGGAGAATGAAATGGGTATTTATGCTATTCCATACAAGATATAACATTCAAGTTGCTAGATGAAGCACCTATGTATTTCTGTTGGATCAGATTATTGAAGTGGGTACTGAGAAACCATCATCCTCACACACTAGATGGATTATGGAAAGCATGCAAGGAGGATGGCATAGACACGATGGCCTTTTGCAATGAAAACCATGTTGCTGAGTTATTGTTACGATGCACAGTCATCAGACACAACATGACCTGACACTACAACATGAACTGTAACGATGTGGTGAGGCTCCAAAATCGTTTTAATGTAACATACTCAGCTTTCTGTACATCCAAGTTACATGCTATACACATGAGCAAACATCTTTGACTTACTAATAGTATGTTATACACTGCAGCATTCAATACTAACTTTATTCTGTGAATGAAATAATATTTTATTGATTCCCACCTTTGTAGACAGTTTGTTTTGCTTGGACTTTTTTGCTGTCTGACTTCTTTCTACACTAGTTCTGTTTCTTAAGGCAGAATGTTTCTTTTTCTTCTTCCTAAGTGGCTCTGATGGTTCAAAAGAAGTCTCTGTAGAAGGAAGTACATCAGGTATAATGGACTCAGGAAAGGTGGATGGTTGGACAGAAAGAGCAGCTGGTGTTGAGGAATAAAGTTCTGGAACATATTCAGAAGAGCTATCTCCAAAAGATATGGGAGAGGTCTTTAAGTTCTTTGGTTTTAGTAGCATGAATTGTCTTTTCCGTGGACGTCCTGGTCGTCTTTTAATAGGAAATAATTCTGGTTCTCTGAAAGAATAAAACTTTTTTTTTCATTTATAAATATAAATCTTTCTTTTGCAAGAAATGACAGGTGAAATGCTGTGTTAAGCTCATCTGCATGAAAAAGCGTAACTGTAAATAAACAACTAACTTTTAATATAAAAAAGGTAAATCATAGAATGCACAAGTCTAAACAAATTGCTATTTACCATCTGTATACAAAACATTAACATATTTCTTTCACACATTAACATCTGAGATCTGTAACAAATAATAATAATTTTAAAACTTAAAAGTTTAATGACTACATTGGAACAAAATACTTCTAATTTACTTTAAATGAGTCAAAATATTTTCTCTGTTTTCAGGTGCATGCCACTATACTTAAGTAAGTGAAATTTTGAATACTTTGAACTACACAGATTTCAGAAACAAGATCATAGCTTAACTTTTAGAACCAATAATAATACAACTCTTATTTCACTTTGTATACTTCTATTTTCTATTTCTGATACTAAAGAATTTTCAAATCTGATAATTTAAGATCAAAGTAAAAACTGAATTAGGAAAGCCTAGAAAATAAATATTTTCATAGCTTACTCTTTTTCTTTTTTTGGTTGTAGTTTGGCCAGTTCTCTTTGTTTTAATTTGTACTTCTTTTGCAATTCTGCTAACTGTAGCTTCATCTCCAATTCAGCAGCATCCATTGTTTCGGGAATGTTGCCAGCATGTAATGGACTGCCTAAAGTATAAAATGGTGACGATGAGTTGCTGCTGAAAGCATACACTTGTGAAGGGCTTTTAGAGTTATGACTCTTGTTATGTTTATTGGATTCTTCATAAGTTTGGTCAATGTCATCTCCCTGTTCATGTTTTAAACTCAAGTTCAACCCTGTCTCTGGGACCTGTGAACTCATAGACTCTTCCAAAAATCTTTGTTCTGCGAGAGCACAGAGCAATCCTAAACCATCAGTACAAGATGGGTCAATGTTTCTTGACAAAGAGTCTGAGTTTGAATACACAGAATCCCTTGTTGGCTTCACATTGTCATTGACTATAACATTTATATTCCCAGCTTCTCCTCCTACTGTACTATAGTCATCACCTGAACTGTCTATCTGTAGCCTGCCCATCTCTGTATTATTCTCTTCTTGTACACGTGAAGCAAACTCTTCAATGCTATCGACCAAGAGGTTTAATCCATGGTGATCAATGAAATCCATTACTGGTTGGCTTTCTGCTGATAGCACTGGTGTAGAGTCTCCTTCAAAAATCTCAGCATCAATAGAAACAGGTTTCTGGACTAATTGACTTTCTGAATCATCGTTATCAGCAACAGAAGCAATTTCTGTAAGAGAAGGTGTCGCAGTCCGAGGGATATCACATGATTCATCTTCACCACTCGTAGAACAATCCTTGACTACACCCATTAAAAGACTGTCGGTTTGGTTAGCAGAATCAATGACCTCCACAGCACGTTCTTCTACATCAGTATCATCTGAATTTGTCTGACAATCCATATCTACTTGGATTGCTGCTGTAACACTGATAGTATGACTATGTTGTTCCACTTCGTTTGTATCTTGACTAACTTCTTCCTCTCCATCTTCATCATTCTCTCCACTGTCTTCTCCATCATCACATGATGCTTGGACACCTTGATCAGAATCTGACGGTATAGGAGGTGATGGGGTAACAGGATTCATTGGAGAAGTTCCCTGCGAACGCTTTCCTGGCTCAGTCTGTATGGCAGTTGTTGACTGGGTTTGGGTAAGATGAACGATAGTGGAGGCTTCATAAAAATATGAAAGAGCAGCTGGAGCACTAGGCTGAGGGAATGCTGGGTAAGGAACTGTTGAGCAGGAACCAAGAGGTTGAGAGGCGTCACTGCATAATTTTTCTTCTGTCTTATCCTTAATGTGTTCATCTTGGTAGACATTTTTTGTTGATTCATCTCTCTCCTCCCCTTCCGAGTCCTCTCTTGTGGAAAAGCAGTTGTTGGACACAGACAGATTTTGGCTTTGAGCTGTCTGATGTTTCAGCTGGTTTTCCTAAAACACACAAAAATTGATCCAATGTTAAATATCATGTAAATGCAAAAGAAGGTGTATGATTTAATAACAAGTAACTTGTAGAAAAGTTTAATTACATTTTCTATTAGCATTATGAAAGTTCTTGTTCATCAGTATACTATTTTATAGATGATCTTAAGTATAGGTGTGGTGGCACAATATATTTGGCACACATGGGTCTCTAAGGCATCATTAACACAACTAATGTCATTTCTATCTAAAACATTAACAGTAATGAGTAATTACAGGTAGAATCAACTCAATCCAAAAAATCTCATTTGCAACATGACAAACTGACTGATCTATTTCCATATATTTGGGTCGTCATCACCTATCTCCAAGAAACTCATAATAATACAAGATGTATAGAATCTAGTTATTTTAAAGGTATATTTACAACCTTACCTATAAAGACATGATTAATTACCTCTTGCATGACTTGAGATTGGAATGGTGGGGCTTGTGGTTGAGTTGCAAATACCTGCTGTACTGGTGTGCCACAAGGGGGAGCTGTGTAATCTGTCCAAATACCAGCTCGATCTACAATTTCTGATGCCAAAATGTAAAAAAACAATAGAAAAAATGAATATTTGAAAACCTTGCTGATGGTTGTTGTTTATTTTGAAATTTTCTAAATCTTTTACTAACATTTGAAAGTTTTCTATCCAAAAATGACAGAAGAGTCGAGTACCATCAAAACACTTTGATAGCGGATACAAACTTTGTTCTTAATTCCATAACTGTAACTTAAAACATTACCAAAGATATATATATATATAGTTATTTTACACACAACTGTATGACAAAAATTATCATCAGACTGACTGTTCTTTCAAAATGGTCAAAAGAAAAACTAAAAACCACTGTTTATCATTTCCATCCACAAATTTATCATCTAACACTTTTACATGTACAGTTTATATTACAGTAACTGTATTTATATCTCTACTTTCATAACATTGCGTAGAAGCTGAAAAATGTTTAAATTTAATCACAGTACAATAAAAAATATATATATATGTATGTGTGTGTATCTTTTTTTTTCATTTGTTCACTATAATTTAGCTGCTTTGTGTAAAACTTACCGATGTTTGTTGTTGGTAGAAGAAAAATCTGATTAGTAAGTGGATCTCTGTAAACTTGATATCCACCAGGTGGTATGGGAACATGAGACGGGTCTACAGGATAAGGTACAGCAGTTGGAGGTGGGGGCTGTGGAGCTGGAGTGGGATTGTACATATTCTGACTAAGCCATACTGTAGGCCCCACCACAGGGCTTGGGGTAACCCATTGTTGTGGTAATGGAGTGTGCACAATAGAGTCCTGTTCCCAGTGGGTAACTGGTGGATTTACATCTTCAAAAACGGAGAAAAAAAATGAGAAGTTTATAAAAATACAAATCACTTGCATGTCTTGAAATGAAGAAAATTTTCAAAATTCAAACCCACACGTTGAAGTGATTACTGACAGTTTTATGGATTTTTATATAAAAATTTTAAATTTTAATTTCACCTGTTACTGCCATATGATCATTCATAATAAAACTGAATTTAAGCTCAAGATATTCAAGCTGAAACATTAATTGCACATGTTTCTTTAAGTGAAGTTAAATAACTATGAAATGTAAACACATTTTCAAAAAATTAATTTTCTTCTGATGCAGATATTTTGTTTAACTGAAGCAATACTTTTGACACACCATCTGTTCTATGAAAAAATAAATTTATTTTTAAAGAGTATAGCAACCTAAAAGATAGTGTAGTATACTTTGGGAAAAGAGAATCAATCAATAAATATATATATATAAAGTGGTACATTTTTATTAAAATAACAAGATAATGAAATTTTCATAATACAATTACATTTAGAATAATGTATTTTAAACTTTCCTTGAAAACTGGGAAGATTCTCCAAGTAATAAAAGAACACAACCTTAAGTTTGTTCAGCCTTAGCTTATAGTTTCATTACCAGAATGTTAAAACATTGCTATGTTTACTATATACCAAATGCAGTTTTTAATACCATAAAAGAGCTACTAAAGAAGTTAATTCCATGCTCTTAATTAAATGCAGCATGATGTAATGCTTAAAATAATTGTTTACGTCAGTATTAAAAAATACTAGCAAACTTAATATCATTTAAAAGCGAAGGGCACAAAACTGAAAAATTCACTGTGCATTTAAGGAAATTGATCATTGAAGTTTTAAACAATTTGGAGGGTTAATATTCATTATATAGGTAAGAATCGGTACTGAAGAATGGGGGATGTTGAATAAGTTCTTAAATGAATAACCACTTCCACACACTTTCACAAAAATGGCTCCAATTCACAGCAGAAACTATTGTAAAAGTTAAAAAAAAGGAACTTTCAGTATAAGAAAAAAAGCACAACACAGACTGCTTAAATATCCATACATTCATTATTAACAAAAACAAAACAATACTAACACAGTTGCACAACAGTCCTGACAAAATAACATTTCTAACTTATTAACATTCAGTCAATATAATTGTAGAAGTAAACAATTTTCAGCTTAGCAGACAATACAATAATTTAAAAATTCAATGAAGTGGATTTCTAAGTTACAATAACAAATAAAATGAGTATTAAAAAGGCTGATAGGTAGACGTGTTGATTCTATTGTAACTATGGTAATTTCTCACCTTGACCCAATATACACGTGGTAGTATTATTCAAGTTTAGTTCAGTAGAATGTTGCTGTATGTCTGGGCCCGAAGACAGCTCTTTTGACCCCCTAGAAACATGAACATTATGATGTATAACTAACAAGCCATTCTCACTTAGAGAATCAAATATGATACAATACCTCCAAATTTTCTTTCTTAGCTTAGTGGTTTCCTAACAAAATACAATTAAATTCTGCAAAAAAAGTTATTTTACAGAATATAGAATAAAATATATGTGTTAAATAAATACTTCAAAATGATAACCAAAATCAAACAGACATTTTTTGAATATAACTGAACTCATGAATACAACACAAGAAGCAATCTATGAAACTTTTTTTAACTTCTCTTTTGTAGAAGGTATGTTAATTCTCGCTGATACCTTACTTAAGTACAATATACTTAAAGATAAGAAAATTAAAACTTACTGGAGGAACCCTTCTTTTTCTGGAACATAATTATCTGAATTTCCAGCTGATGTAGAAGAAACAACTAATGATCTGTTTCGACTAGTATTTGGTAAAAACGGTGGTCCACCTTTAACTTTAAAGTATAAAAAAGGTTTTATGTGAAAAATGTAAGAGTTTATGTTAAAATCAACTACCAGGAATTAAAAATAGTAGCAAGAAAAATGTCTAAAACTACCACTTGATACTCAACATGAAGCTTTAAAATTACGTATGTGAATTCTTATGTAAGATCCTCTTACAAACCACAAATTAGACAATATCATTACAATCAGAGCATAATGTGTAGCAAAATCAAGCAGTAAGTTATACTACACAAATATGCTGATTAGAGGAAATCTTATTTAAATAAAAACAAAAAAAGAAGTATCCTGTTATTTTCAATACTACATTTAAAAAAATAATTTAATTAAAATATAATTTACGAACATAAGATATTACAATCATTACTAACTTTTAGTGTCAGTAACAAAATTCATTACAGAAAAGATATAAAATGAATAAATACGGGTAAGTTTGGTGTAAGTTTCTAAAAACTGAGCATATGTCGGTATTTTGTCTTTTTGATACCAGGATTTAATTATTTGTCTATAGATGTAGCATTAACTTAAGAAATACAATTTTTGTACCTGAAAGGGATTTTAAGACTCCTCAAAGTTATTCTATTTACCTGTCTTTACCTTAGTAATGTGTAACACTCGAATCAAAATTAAATCCTAAACTACAAGTCAAAAAGCCGTGCAACTCACTGCCTGAAGTTGTTGTAAGAACCTGTCTCTGTTGAGCCACTGCTATTCCAACTGGGATATTCGAGTTCACTAGAAGTAAATTAATCAACAGTGACACATATATTTACTTGTTATTGTGATTTTTTTTATTATTATTCCATTACTCTCCCATTTGTAAATTCAAACATTAGGACAAGGTGCAAGACAAGGATTTTGACAGCATTTTTGATCAAGTTCACATCTAACAGATTATCAGCACATCTAATGAGAAGTACAAAATAAACTGACATGAAATTCATATGTCCCTGCAAATGTCTGACTGCAAAACAATCATATGAGCCAAGAGATTGATCTTTTAATGACAAATAAAATATTTATTTTAGATAAATATTACATACAGTATATAAATAAAAATTGCTCTCTCTCTCTTTCTACTGGATGGTATTTAAAAGGATATCACTGACTTGTTGTTAGATGAGTATACAAATTATTAATACGAAATCTCACCCCAACTGTACCACATGTTTAAGATTTACTTAAACTCTAGACTTAGTTATGTAATCACTTAACACCGCATATCGAAAAACGTTTACAAGAAAGAAAAGTTAGAAGATATAGTTGGAGTGAAACTTACCAGTGGAAGGAAAGGATGACGTTGTGGAACTACAGGTAGATGGACAAGAACTAACAGATGGGCAAACACCAGTAGAAGGTGGCAAAGAAATAGATCCAGCCACAGAAGTACAAGATTTTGTAGAGGATATTCTATGGTGGTGTGTAATACTTCCAACAGTTGTAATGGCATCAAAAAAATTAGATCCTTTGGAAGAAATAGGCACAGCTTGTTGGCTTGTTGAGCCAGTTTGGCTGGATGGCATTGACTGGACATTACAGGAGACTGGTGTCTGGGAAGCAGATAAAGATGTTGTCACCTGAGAGAAGGCAGAAGTGACTTCTGGGTTACTCGCCAACTGAAATCTTAATGATACCATGGATTGTTGGATCTTTCCAGTAGGTTTTGGTTTTTCTCCTGTCTGGTTGGTCACATGAACCAAATCATTTTTTTGTAGTGGTGATTTTGTCACAGATGAAGACCCACTAGCAATGTTTGCTAATGCTGTGAGGCTATGAGATGACACAAAGTCCGGCTGAACATTTTCTGGAGATAATCCAATCCTTGGCATAGATTCTGATAACATTTGGCAAGGTAAGGCAAAGTCTGACGGTTCCTGTTTAGGTACTCGGCGTGGGATACTTAAGTTGATGACACCATGGTCTTCTTCGGTCATGTCATTTCTTAGTGCACTTGAATTTCCACAATAACTGTACAATTTATTCATTGAACAGTACTCCTCCCCATCCATCCTTTCTTGCTTTATGTGAATTCCAGTTGGTAAGACAGAAGATTTGTGGTTCTTCTGTTCACTTGTTACTATTGGGGAATTTTCACTCGTCAATGAATATGAAGTAGCTTCTGAGGACAAAGCCACAGAACAAGACCTACTCAATGGGTCTACCAGAGATTTTTGTTTGACTTCAGCAGCTGTTAGTTTGCTTTTCTGACTAGACAGTGAGCTATTCTGCCCACTTCGACCTTCACGAACTTGTGGATGGACTATCTGAACTGTTTCATAACACTGATGTGTTAAGTCTGCTATCTGATTTTCCTGGCTGTTTGATAGACTCAATGTGTCATTTTCAGACTCTGGCTTGCTTTGGGATTGTGCAGTTTGAGAAACATGACTTTGATTATTACTTGGAAGGCTAGTAACCCTTGCTTTTTCTTTCATCTGTGAAGAGTTTATTGATAACCTTAAATTGTCAACAGGCACTGAACAAGGTAGGGGCAACGTTGTAACATGTGGTGTGATGGTCACATGGCATGGTGAAGACACAACTAAAGAATTAAAAATATACACATGTAAAGCTTACAACAAAAATAAATAAAATTTTTAAAAAATTCTAAAACTAGCCAAGATAAATTGAAACATTGTGCACTTCATATCAATGACTACCACTTTTTGAGTTTTGAGTTTGATTAATCATTTTAAGAATTTACTTATTATTGGTAAATAAATACACAAATAATCAAAATAATCTGGGAGAGTGTTGTGACAGAAAACACTTTTTAAGGTCAAGCGATCTTTTTTTGTTTTTAAGAACAAGATTCATAAGTATTAGTGAATCATGAGAAGTATTATAAAATTATATTAAACTCAGTAATTATTTCAATCACTTCCAAATGATACACATTATATTAAACTCCGTAATCTATTTCACCCACTTCCAATTGATACACATTTTTGTCTCTTCAAAGTTACCACCTTGACAGTATAAAAAACGTGGCATTGTAAGTACATTACAAGTTGAAGATCTCAAAAAGTGGCATTTATTATCTTAATCTTAAAGAACATAATCATTGATTAAAACACAAAATAAAAATAATTACAGGCTCTGAACCCAAACTTATTGTATTGAAAACCTCTAAACTTAGCCATTGAATTTACTAAAAATTAGTATTTTGATACCTGAAACAAAACTTGAAGCAGAATCATGTACATACCACATGTCAGGTTTTTGTTCTCTAAAATCAAGAAATCCTGCTCATTAAAATGTTAAAAATTGGTCAAATAAGTTGTACCGTATTTTTCTTAAGACTTAGAACCCTTTTTATAATTGTAGACATTATCATGAAAGTAAAGGTCTTTCTTTCTCTAATACAAGTTTGAAATAGCAGCTTCTGTAATACTGAGATAAAAGATTCAACTAGAAAAGCACTCAAAGAGCAACCCTCACCCCATGATGTTTTGGACTTTTGCAGTAACGTATCTAAGACGTACTTTTAAATAATTTATTTACTTCAAAATTTAAATATATCCTTTTTTCTATTTCAATTTCTTCTCAAGTTTTAACCGTTTTTCACAATACTAAGTAATTACTATTATAACGAAAGTGATTAACCTTCCATTTGACTCCATTTTTCAGCTACTTTCACCGAAAGCAAGTCAATTGGCCCTTAGGGAACAAAATATTTTTTACTAAATTTGATCAAAATCTGATGAAAATTTCAATTACTTTTTACACATACACAAAGGAGTGAAAACAATACTCTAACAATCAGGCTAGGAGTAGCTACACAGACTACAAGTTTTGTATTCAGGGTGCATACAATATGCTGATTCCACTTGTGTCAAAAACTACTGAACAAAAGTGATCAAGCTAACTGGGGAAGTGGTTTCCAAACTGTGGGTTTCAATCTGAAAGTGGGGCATTAGAGGTGTTGGGGGTGGGTCGCAGAACTAGTCACAGATAAAACAAATATATTTTTATTTTGAAAGTATTTATAAAATATTATCCTAAATGTTTTGAACAAAAATAAAAAAGCACTTCTTGGCTTCACTAAAATATATTACAATTGTTAACCCCCTCTAAAGCTACCTGGTACTCAGATAGGTCATGAGTTGGAGAAGTTAGTGTGGGGAGTTGGGCATAAATCCAGGCCATCAGACCAACAGTATTATCTGTGCTATCTAAAAAATAATCCAGATTCAAAACACAAGTTATATCAGTTAATTACAAATTAACATAATAATTATTTAATATATTATAAAAAATTTTACCAGTAGTGTTTGCTGCCCCTTGATGTGGAGGTTTGTCTGAAGTAGCCAGAGATGATGTTGCACGGTGTCCTGTGAATGTCACTGTTGTGGTTGCTACAGTGTCACTAGATGTGCCAAGAGCTGTAGTGACACATGAGGCAGAAACTATTCTCTGGGCAACAGACACAGGTTCTTCCCTAAACTCCTGACGATTTGTGCTTTTTATCTTAGTTACTTGTTTTGTTATGCAGTGAGGGTTTTCAACAACTTCTGTATTGTCATTTAAACTTGCTGAGCACCAAGAACATTTCTTTTCCTTGCTAATTTTATCAGCTTCACTCCTTAATGTTACACTTCGAGATTTGCTGGGTTTAGCTCCTTTAACTTGTGGTATGTTTCCATTTGCCAGCCTACCTTCCAAATGATGTGTTTCTGGTTCAGAGCATTGTTGTCTTTCTTTGAGTCTTTCCTCACGTTGTTTATTCCTGCTCTCAGGTAATTTTTCCCGTGACCCAAGAATAGTGGATGAATTGGATTGTTTTTCAACAGCTCTTACATGAGAGTCTAAACCAGTTAGACCAAGTCTTGCTCGTTCAGCATTGTGATGACAACTAATACTTGATGATTCTCGCTTCAGGAATCCCTCAAGTTCTTCTGCTCCTCGTTCAACCCTTCGGAAATCATCCTCCACCATCAGAGAGCGCCTCCCAACTTCCAACCCTTTCATCCCTAGCCCCAGGTGACTGAATCCTGGATGGCGGTCAAGAGCCGGAGTAAGAGAAGGTACGGGAGTAGTGTGACCCACATGATTGGTCAGTGTTAGAGGAGAAGCAAGAGCTAAACCTGGAGATAAGTACGTGGGTTCTGTAAAAATAAAAAATCTTTTTATAAACACTGAGAAATCTAGTCAACTAGTTTTGTATGATATAAAAAAGAAATGTTGGGCTGTACTTTAAAGCTTGAATAAATAGTCAAGCAGTTTTGACTTCTCCATAAGTTTTAAATTATGTTTATGTATTAGTTTCCCATTCCTTCAAAATGCTTAGATATATCTATTCCCTAAATTAACTATATTTCACAACAAATCTAATCAAAATAAACCTTTATATTACTTATAAAAAACACATGGTACACAAAATACATGGTATTTTGTTCTGATAATGTCAGGTGGCATAAGTTGAGTTGATTAAATTTTAATAAAACACATTTACTACGTTTTTTATAATTGTCTAACAAAAAACACTTGGAAAAATAAAATTTCACAAAACTTCATCCAAATGAAACAAACTGGACAATTATTTTAAGAGCAATAAAGCATGGAAATACCTTTGTGTGTAGCTTCTAGAAGGGAACTGTAGTGTGCAGGGGATTGACCCAACCGAGAAATGTAACCTTGACTGGAGTAAGGGTTAGGGTCTGTAGATGGGACAAGAGGTGGGAACATTGTGTAGAGGCTACTACCCATGGCATACCTGCTATAATCTATTGCAAAACAAAAATATAAATGTATACTTCCCATCAAAAGATCAACTAACAAAATTTTAAGACTAGAATTATATGAAAACCATCACACAGTTTTCAAAACTATAAATTTTAAAGAAACCTTACAATGATATCATAACCGGTAAATCTTAAAACAGACAACTGTTGAACAATTATCATTTAGAGTTTCATTTATGGGAATTAAAATTGTTTATAAATAAATAAATAATAATCCTTAAACAATGATCCAAATTTATTGGAAAAAATTGGCATGAAAAGTTTCTTAACTTGCACTTAAATTAATCTGGCCTTATTTACACCTTTACTTACAAGTAAAGCATTAAAAATAAAAAATAAATTGATAAAAACTAACAATAAACAATTTAACAAATATACTCAGTTTTCTTAGATTATTAAATCAAGAAAAGTATCTGTAAAAGGAGAGTTAAAAGCTAACTAACAATGTTAACCAGTAACTTTCAAACCATTTAAGAGCAGTTCAAAACTACATTTCAGTACAGACACTGAAACGTAACAAATATTACATGTCCTAATCCTCAACTCTTCTCAGTGAAAAACAACTAAACATTAGGTCAAGTCTGTAATACTAAACTTAGTGTGCTTTCCCAGCTGCATATACATGATAACTATTAGTTTCTTTAAGTACCCAATTTCGTTTAAGGCTTTAGTACTTCTGGAATCTTAATGTTTGGATAAATTAGTCTCTTTAGCTGCAGATTCTGGGATATAATTAGATAGATTACTCTGTTGAACTTCAGATTCTTGATTATGAATTACTGTTTGTTTGTTTTAGAATTTTGCGTAAAGCTACACGAGGGTTATCTGCGCTAGCCGTCCCTAATTTAGCAGTGTAAGACTAGAGGGAAGGCAGCTAGTCATCACCACCCACCGCCAACTCTTGGGATACTCTTTTACCAACAAATAGTGGGATTGATCGTCACATTATAATGCCCCCCATGGCTGAAAGAGCGAGCATGTTTGGTGAGACGGGGATTCGAACCCCCAATCGCAGATTGCAAGTCGAGCTCCCTAACCACCTGGCCATGCCGAGATTATGAATTATACATTCTTCTGTTCTTTCACTCATAAGTTCTTAGAATTACTCGTTTTCTCCTGTTGACGTTGTGGTTATTTAATTCATTATATGAACAATAAGACTAGCTTGCTGGTTTGTTATCTTTTCTAAATAATTAGTAAAATTAATTCAAGTAAAAATAAATAATAATAAATAATTGGTGTTCAAATATATAAATAATATTGTTATTAACTCCTAGCCTAATTCTGGTTTGTATAAAATTGATAAAAAAAAAATCACACTTCACCAACTTAATCTAGTTCGTAATGTAAAAATTGTTGTTGATGCAATTTAATAATATAAGTAGCATCTCAACCAATACTGTGTCTGTCGTATCTCAGCCAGTCTGATGAGCCCTGGTATTGAACATTATTAGCATTGGATATAGTAGATATGGTGTGGTTAACTATTACTGTGCATTTTCCTTTACTTTCACTTATATAAAATTAAATTTATATTCCTTAACATTTTTAGATGGTTTGCAAAATTTTAACTATCAAAGTAATCTTAAAATAAGCTCCTGAGCTGTGATGGGACGGAACAGAAGATATTGAAAACCGTTTAATAAACAACCCACCATGGTTGTGTTAGCTATTTTTTATATTTCTCTTGATCCTGTTGGATCTGTAAATCAATAAATGTTTAGATGATGTTAATTTTAATACAGAGTTCATCGTACATGAGAGACATCTATTTGTCTTTTTTTTTATTACATTTAAACTTTGCCTTAATGTAATTCCCTGGTGGCTCATTGATAAGACTGAGGGTTAATAATACCAAAAACTGGGTTTTGATACCTGTTGTGGTGGGCAGAGCACAGACAGATCTTTGTGTAGTTTTGCTCTTAAACAACCACAACATTGATAGTTCACATGAATTTTAATGACCTTGAATATACTGAGTGACCTTGAATATGCTGAATGACCTTGAATATACTGAGTGACCTTGAATATGCTGAGAAGAAAACTAGATAATTACTTTCTTAACACTTAGTTCATGTTTAATATAATAACACTCAAGTATTGGAAAAAAACCCTAATAACTCAAGCATTTTTGGAATTGGACTTACTAAAAAAAAAGTCATTTATCCCAGAAAAAGAAAAGACCATTTTCCAAAATGCTCCAGTTATGGGGTTTCTTTTCTGATACTAACTTTTTCTGTTCATCCCGCATTCTTTTGAATATCATGATGACAGCTGCATCTCATTTTCTGGTTACTATGGATATTGGATATTTTGACATGTTAACTCTGTGTTTTTTTCCAATAGATTGGTTTGTTTGATATTGATAACTGTATTATTCTATGATTGCTTTTGACTAGCTTGTGATATTTCAATTCTGCCATACTAATTACCTAATGGTAATATTTTAGTATGTTACTGTTGAAACAAGATGAAAAGACTATATATAACAACTTTATTTAGGTTATAAGTTTAAGGTGTTTTTAATAATGTTTTGAATGTTTTCAAATTACTTAGTCATTTGTTTTATCTAAAAGCTGTAAAACTAAGAATGTTTTTCCATATTCTTGGAATATTTGTATAACCAAAAACTTTGAAATTGTTTAAATGAAGAATTTTATAACTAGCATCTTATTTTTATAGTGTAGAGCTACCATGAAGTATTTATATAATGAAAATACACTTACTATCTGGTGGGGGTGTAGGGGGCCAAAACTGCCTCATTATTATTCCTGTAGGTGGCGCTCTGAATGTTGAGGTGGACTGAGAAGGAAAATTACTGCTGTATATGCCACTCAGGTAAGAATAACTGGTCCCTACAGAATAAGAGAAATTAACATGGCAAATTACTATTTACATATTGTATACTAAACTTAACTAATAATTACCGAAACATTTTTTTGGCTTAAAATAATGTCACTGAGTGAGTTTCTTAGAAACCGAAATAAACAATTATAATAAATACTATTTAGGCAGAAAAAAAAAAAAGATTACATTATTTCTTGTGGTTTAAAACATTGCAGTTTTAGCAAATGACCAGGATATAGATTTAGCAATTATGAATAGAGCTGACTTGGCAACATATTATAACATCCTAAATATTTAAATTGTTATCAATACAGAGGTTTTATTATTTTAGCTATTTTCATAATATGAATTATATCACACTTTTATATATTCCCTATTGAATCAAATTCATATATATCTCAGTTTTCGATGTTGTGTCAGTTTCTCAAATTAGGAATCATTTAACACAGAACCGTTTTACTTTTTTTTTTCTTAATAAAGCTATTGCAACCTTTCATCTAATAGTCATTTAGGAAGGTCATTTCGCACTGTGTGGTTAACAAGATTGTTAGATTGGGAGTAAACTTCCTATTTGTAGGAGAATTGTTTCATGGGAGGGAGAAAATCAAATAAGGGAATAATGCTAAAAATAGGGTGGTTTCATTTCCTTTATAGTGATCTCCTTTGAAGTTTCCAATGAGGTTCTCATGACCTTTTGAAATATTAACACTGCCTTCTATCAATGATGGGCTATTTCACTAACCAAAAGTACATGTCATTTGCCATGAAGTTTGCCTCACATACCACCCTCTAAAAGTAAACATAACTCTATTGTAATAAACATAGTAGATGATATATATATAGTATGCAGCTTTTGGATTGCTCTTGATTCATAAAAAAAATTTTCATTAAAAATCTGTACTCCCTTATAATAATAATCCCAAATTCAAAGTGAAACAACAAATCAACAATCATATGCCTGGGACAGATGAATAACACATGCCTGCGATGGTTTTATTGTCTTGAAATTTTTATATGTTCTAAAGTAATTCCTATATGCTGAATCTGAAAATGATATCCATTTTTCTCTATCACATACAGATTTTTCACAAAACATCATAACGCAATACATAATTGAAAGACCACAACACACAGTTTTGAGACTAAAAAACATGGATTTCACACACAAAAATCAGGATGAACAAGGATGCATATTTGTTTGACATCAGTGTTCTTCCCTTTTCTTCAGTTTGTTTGAACTTTTTTTAATAAACATAATAATAAAAAATTTCATTGTGGTAAACGAAATAATAATTTGATCTAAGTAAGAGTTTGTTTTTCTTCATAATTTGTAAAAAATCCTTATGTAATAAAAAAAAAGAATATTATTATCGAAATCTGCGTAGCTGAATTATGGAAAGTCCGTTATTAAAACCAAAACATCTTTTATGAAGTGTAAATTTGCAGGCCTGTGTAATCAAGTAAGTCACCTTTTGATTACTGTCACTTTAGTTAATATTTTCAGTATTTCATTGGTTTAACAAGAATTAATGGGGAATGTAAAAAATATTTATCAAAAGCAAAGCAGGATAATCAATAATATATATATATGCATCTTACTTCTGGTTAGGATATTTTGTAAATGGGGGATTGACTCACCATCAGGGGGATTTTCAAAGTAGCATCCGAAAATCCTGGTTGTTAACAGAAAGGGTTAATATGCTCAAATGTGAAAACTTGATTTACAATGAGTGAGAACAGAGTATTTCTGTCTTTCTATTCCTATATAAAATAAAGCCTCAACAAAAAAAGGTATTTAAAGCTTTGAGTTTCTTTACTATGGCATTATTAAAGGATTAAATGGTAATGTCAGATAATAATATCAATGAAAAAGGTAACAGCTACAATTTCAAATGGTTGTATACAATGATGGCAAAAAAACAACTCCCAAGCCAAAAAGATGTTACATTTGAAGTAGGGGTAACTATTTGTAATGATCTAAAACTATAAAAATTTTACTCATGTCTTTCTTATGAAACTTTTCTGAAAAGAACATCATGACAGATAGAAATTTACTGTAACATTTGATTAAGTAATCAATTTATTGATTGATGTCTAATAACAGTATTTTAACAGTCTTTGTTTCCAAGTGATAATAGGTTTATTGACTGATGCCTAATAACAATATTTTAAATCTTTGTTTCCAAGTAATAATAGGTTTATTTATTGATGCCTAATAACAATATTTTAAGTCTTTGTTTCCAAGTGATAATAGGTTTATTGACTGATGCCTAATAACAATATTTTAACAGTCTTTGTTCCCAAGTGATAGGTTTATTGACTGATGCCTAATAACAATATTTTAACAGTCTTTGTTTCCAAGTGATAGGTTTATTGATTGATGTCTAATAACAATATTTTAACAGTCTTTGTTCCCAAGTAATAGGTTTATTGATTGATGTCTACTAACAGTATTTTAAGTCTTTGCTCCCAAGTGATAGGTTTATTGATTGATGTCTAATAACAGTATTTTTAACAGTCTTTGTTTGCAAAAGTGGTTGCTCCAAAAGAAAGAATTGTTTTAAAAAGGTTTATGGTAATTTTGGTGTGTTAGAATGACAAGCTTAAGATAAGATTATTAGCTTTAAATGTCAAAGAAACTAATTCCTAACATTATTTTAAAATTGTGTTGAAGCCAAGTGAAAATACTGTAACAAAAAAACTTCCAAGTGTCCATAAGTTAAAGTCTAAGAATCCTATTTTTACAAAAGATAAAAGACCCACTGAAAACAAAACAATCTTATTATATGTAAAACAAGTCAAGTCACCTGATACTGAATGTTCCTTTATGGTTCTATCAGAACATTTATTATTTTTTTTATAAAGATCTTTAGTCTAATTTGTGAAATTGTTGAATTCTGACACAGTTTTATAGGTAGCATATTTGTATGATTTTTCTTGGTTTGTTAATCGAATTTATGATACTGTTGCGTCAGCGAGTCACATGACTGGTGTGACGCCACGTTTCTAGAACTATCCCGTATCTTGGCGAATGCTCTAGTATTTACTAGATGGAGGGTAGACTGGTATATAAAGGAGGGTGACAACGTGACGGGAGATTATCGTAATGTGTGCGTAGATCGTGATTAATTGATCTGCGGTCAGAAGTATTATTGACGTTCGTTGTTATAGCGTTTGTTTAGCGCGATTGTTGAAGTTGAGTGTATCGGTAAAGTTATATTCGGAAAGAATAAACCAGTTTTATTAAGTAAAAACTTGTGTCGTTAAAGTTTCGTCGGAACGAAGTTACGGAAAATTAATTAACAAACGGAGACGTAACAATACAATAAAATCTTATGTGTTTCCAACTGTCCGAAAACAGAAATAACTTCAAACCACGTCAGCTTTTAGACGACAATCAACACAGAACCAGAGGGTTATATATAAAAATTAATCACAGTATATGTGATCACCAGTGCTTCTAGTTAACCCAACAATAAGCTTTGTGGTAATTGCAGCGAAAACTAATGATACAAATACCTTGATTTGATAATAATTTAGTCACATTTTTCTAAAAAATCAATGGCAATAAGCAAAAATACTAATATTATAACAAACAAACACACACACACACACACAAGCAGAAACTATTCAATCCTAAAATAACTACATAATATTTTATTATGAAAAATTACAAATGTCGCTGCTTCTGTGGTACTTTTGTTTCTAAACACGGCCTATGCTAGGCCTAGAATATTCATGTCGCTTAATAAGTAAAGTGGGAATGAAGTTTCACGCTATAGGCCTATCAATTTGTTTGACTTGCAATACCCAATAAAATCGAATTCGCGAACACAAAACCTGAAATTTCAGTTTACAGCCTCATATTTGTTTGTCTTTTTTAATTTCGCGCAAAGCTACATGAGGGCTATCTGCGCTAGCCGTTTCTAATTTAGCAGTGATTGACTAAAGGGAAGGCAGCTAGTCAACACCATCAACCGCCAACTCTTGGGCTACTCTTTTACCAACAAATAGTGTGATTGACCATCACATAAAGCGCCCCCGCGACCCGTAGATTGCGAGCGAGTCCGAGTGCCCTCACCGCTAGGCCATGGCCCTACAAGTTTATGTAATGAAATATAAACGTTATGTTATTTTCATAGAAGTACTTTCGTCAACTTCTGCAAAGAAGTTGTGATAGTATAGTGATGTCCAGTTACAAGTCGTCTAAATACGCTAACAATTTAAATATTATGTATGATATCAAATGTAGAAATATACAAATAAGGTGAAATACTCACCAAATTAAAGTAAGTTTATTGATGAATTAAAAAAAAAAATTCAAGCAACGACGCTTCATCGGGTTTGTGGCTAAAGTAGCGTCATAGACAGCGGGTGTTACTGGCTGATTGTCCTTTCTGTTGTCAGCAATCCCGACGAAGGAATGTTGACTGAAAAGCTTTCAGTGAACTTGTTTCAACTTGGGGAGTGTGCTACCTTCTTTGTTTGTATTTTATCTACATTTTGTACTTTTTCTCGCTTACTCGGTTTTTGTTTTTTTAATTATGGATGATATCAAATACTGGATTTTGTTCCTAATGTATAACCAGAAATCACTTCAGCATTAGACTAACTATTTATGAAGCTTCCGGAAAATTCCATATTGTTTGAAGTTTAGTTTAATAGCTACCTTTTTGTTCTCCACTTTCTTATACATGTGGAACTAACAACATTTTACATTTTTCAAATATACAACAAGTCAAAAGTCAAGCCTGAAATTCAACTACTTAACGTATCCTATTGTAGAAAAAAAAAAGTAAAAATTAAAAACAAAATTAGAATAACAAAATGTAATATGCATACTGCCAAAAACAAAGAGACGTGCATATGATATAAGGTTACAAATATCGTAATGTGTACAGATGCCAAGATGACACGAATTTTGTGATCATAATGCTGAATGTCCCAAAGCTAGTACAACTCATGCCTGCCTAGTTTCAAGAACTTCCGATCAGAGCAAGCTACTTAG